GAATGCTAAACAGCGGCTCCTTAAAGGAACAGGCAGTGGCGTCCCCAGGCTCAGCCCCAGCTCCCCAGATTTCTGGGGTACCGCCAACCCTAGGGCAAGGGCAGAGGACTTGGGCCATGTGTGAGCTCAGCCCCCCGTCTCGTGCCCCCATATCCCAAATTTCAGCTCATCCTCTGCCCACTCCACCCCACCCAACAGGGAGTTGCAGAAAGATGCTCAATGGGTCCCCGGGCTTGCTCTTTACCATGAGTAAAGACTTGCAGCAGCAGAACGGACTGAAGTGATGCTGGGGAAGTGCTCTCCTGACAGGGGATCAGGGCAGAGGGCAGCTTATGTGGTGGCTTTCCTGTCAGTGCTTCCTCCTCAGGACTTGTTCTCTCAACCTCTAGGCCCTGAAACGCCAGCAACCTTCCACTTGACCTGTTTGCATTACCAGCGAGGGATTTAAGCCTAGGACAGGAGGAAAAGAAAGCTCTAAGTTCTTGTCCCTGGCCCACAGACTCCTCCCGTGTCTGCCACCCAACTTCCGTATGTTTATGATGGGGGAAAGAGAGCTTCAGGGTGCCAAGAGGAGAGAGCCCAGGGCAGGAAGAAAAGCAAGAAGAGATCTGAAGTAAGAGAACACATTTTGGGTGTCTGAAGAACTTGGGAATCTCCGTAGCCTCTCCTGGTCAGCCTGCTGGGGAATGGAAGTAGGATCATTAGCTACCAATTACTGAGAACTTTACAAAGTCCTAAGTGTTTCACATGCAAACAAAAACCTGACCAAGGTTATTATTATCTTAATTTCACCAATGAGAAACTGAGGTACAGGTAGGTACCACAGTTGGAAGTGACAGAATGAGAATGCAAAACCTAGCCATTTGCCTCCAGAATCCTTGCTCTGAACTACTACAGTACAACAGGTCTATTCTAAGTTCTTCTGCAGAACTTAGATCCCAGTTCAACAGATATTCATTGCACACCAGCTCTGTGCAAGACATTGGCCTAGGACCCAGGAATACAGAAATTCATTTTTGATTCAGAAAATATTCATTGGGCACCTGCCATGTGCCAGACATTGTTCTGGGATTTAAGGATAAAGCAGAAAAAGGAACAAAACACAACAAACCCCTGTCCTTGGGGAGCTTACATTCTAGTGAGAGGACACAGACAAAAATTAGCAGAATAAATAAATGAATTATATACTCTATAGAATGATAAGTGCTGTGGAAAAAAAAAAAAAAGTAGAGCAGAGAAAGGGAGATTGGGAGTGCTAGGAGAGGATACCGAGTTATAATAATTTTTCTTAGAGTTTTTTACCCTAATGTGTTTTTTAAAAATATGTTTTTATTGATTTCAGAGAGAGGAAGGGAGAGGGAGCGAAAGAAACATTGACGACAGAGAAACATCAATCCACTGCCTCCTGCATGCCCCCCGCTGGGGATTGAGCCCACAACCCCTGCATGTGCCCTGAGCAAGAATCGAACCAGAGACCTCCTGGTGCAGGGGATGATGCTCAACCAATTGAGCCACACTGGCCAGGATACCCCCACATTTTTAATATGAAAAATTTTATTTATTATTATTTATTTTAATTTATCTTTATTGTTGAAAGTATTACAGATATCCCCCCTTTTTCCCCCATTGATCCCCTCCACCTCGCATCCACCCACCCCCAAGCCTTCCCCATACCAATGTCTGTATCCATGGGTTATGTTTATAAACATACAAGTTCTTTGATTAATCAATCTTTCTCTGACTGGCTTATTTATCTAAGCATAATACTCTCCAGTTCTCTCCATGCTGTCCCAAAGGGAAAGGCATCCTTCTTTTTTAAAGCTGCATAGTATTCCATGGTATAAATGTACCACGGCTTTTTTACCCACTCATCTACTGATGTGCACCTGGGAAGAATGTATATTCTGTAGCTTTGGTGTGGAATGTTCTGTAAATGTCAATTAAATCCATCTGACCTAGGGTGTCATTTAGGGTCACTGTTTCCTTGTTGATTTTTTGTGTGGAAGACCTATCCAGTGAAGTCAGTGGGGTGTTAAAATTCCCTAGTATGACTGTATTGCTGTCAATCTCTCCCTTAAAGTCCTCTAGAAGTTTTTTTTATGAATTTAGGTGCTCCTATAGTGGGTGCATATATGTTTATCAGGGTTATATCCTCTTATTGGATTGATCCCTTTAGTATTATGTAGTAACTTTTCTTGTCTCTCGTTATGGTCTTCATTTTGATGTCTATTTAATCTGATATTAATATTGCTACCCCAGGGTTTTTTCATTTCCATGGAAATTTTTTTTCCCATCTTTTCACTCTCATCCTGTGTGGGTCTTTTGTTTTGAGGTGGGTGTCTTGTAGACAGCATATATTTGGGTCATGTTTTCTTATCCATTCAGCCACCCTATATCTTTATTGGAGCATTTAATCCATTCACTCTTAAGGTTATTATTGATAGATACTTATCTATTGCCATTTTAATTCTTTATGCCTATGTTTCTCTCTCTTGATTTCTACTACTTCTAATTACAGCAGTTCCTTTAACATTTCCTGCAATGATGGTTTGGTGGTGATAAATGTCTTTAGCCTTTTTTTTTTTTTTTTTGTCTGGGAAGCTCTTTATTTTACTATCTGTTTTTAAAAATATATATTTTTATTGATTTCAGAGAGAGGAAGGGAGAGGGAGAGAGAAAGTTGAAACATCAATGATAAGAGAGTCGTCATTGATTGGCTGCCTCCTGCACCCTTTCAACTGGGGATCGAGCCCACAACCCGGGCATGTGCCCTGACCAGGAATCAAACTGCGATCTCCTGGATCCTAGGGTGATGCTCAACCACTGAGCCATGCCCAGCCAGACTCACCATCTATCTTGAATGATGGTCTTGCTGGATAGAGTAGTCTTGGTTTCAGATCCTTGTTTTGCATTACCTTGAATACTTCATGCCATTCTCTTCTGGCCTATAGAATTTCTGATGACAGCCTTATGGGGGCTCCTTTGAAGGTAACAGATTGCTTTTCTCTAGCTGCCTTTAAGATTCCCTCTCTGTCTTGAATTCTTGGCATTTTAATTACAGTGTGTCTGGGAATGGGTCTCTTTGGATTCTTCTCGCTTGGGACTCTCTGTGCCTCCTGAACTTGTGTGCCTTTTCCCTTCACCAGGTTAGGGAAGTTTTCTGCAATTATTTTTTCAAACAAATTCTTTATCTCTTGCTTATTCTCTTCCTCTCCTTTTGGTATTCCTATAATGCAAATATTGTTACGTTCATGTTGTCCCACAGCTCCCTTAAACTCTCCTCTTGTTTTTTTAATTGTTTTTTCTTTCTGGATCTCTGATTGAGTGATTTTTTTCCACCCTGTCTTCTAATTTGCTGACCCAATCCTCAGCTTCCTCTAATCTGCTGTTTATTCCTTCCAGTGTACTCTTTATTTCTGCTATGTCATTCTTAATTTCCTTTATAGTTTCCATATCTGCTGAGCATCCTTACAATCAGCATTCTGAACTCTATATCTGACAGATTGCTTATCTCTATTTCATTTAACTTTTCTTTTCTGAAGACTTCTCTTATTCCTTCATTTCAGGCTTGTTATTTTGTCTTCCCATTTTGGCTGCCTGTTTGGGTTTGTTTCTATGTATTAGGCAGATCTGCTAGGACTCTCAGTCATTTTTGAGGGTCTCTGGGGCAGGCCAATGTCAGACACAGTTTTTGACTGGCCCTGAGTACCCTGTTTGGAGCTATCAACAACCCATCACTTGAGGTCTCCTCTGTTGGGGCTGGGTGCAGTTGGACAGGACCAAGATACACACCAAAGTCTGCTTTTCCAAGGCCCAGGCCCAGAAGCAGATCAGGCAAGGACTCAAAGCACTCTGAGGTCCGCCTCTGGCTGTAGGCTGATTAATCTGATTCTCTTAATGAGCCTCAGGCTGTAGAAACTCCTCTGGGTAGGATGAGAGGTTTTCCAGCAGGGTGGGACAATTGCTTCCTCCCTCAGGTGAAAGCAGCAAAATGTCTGCCTGAGAAAGATGTCCTCTGCAGTATGGAGGAATGATTCAGCATAGTAATCCAGATGGGTGCCTTCTGATCTCTATCTCCAGAGCCCACAACCCTAGATTCTCCTCACACAGCTCCAGTCCACTCTGCTCTCCCTCTGATGGAGCCCAAGGTGAGCGGCTACACACACAACTTTGTGCATTGGCTCTTTAAGAGGGTGCCTGCATTTCTAGCCATCTTTTCCTGGCGGACAGAAATCCTGCTGCTTT